GGTTGAAACATAGTCAACCTACTCATACCAATGATCGCGAGATACCAATCTAAAAGCATCTAGCTCCAACTTTGTGAGAGGATTGATTATTAGCATGTAGGCGGCAGCGCTACTTCCAAACAAGAAGCTTTTATGTAATAATCTGGTATTTCCAACAAACAAATGATGCGAGAGATCTCTTCCGAAAGTTAGCAAGACGACGAATTATGTTGCGTCTGTGTTTGTAATAGTGGCGTGCAAGCCGTGCTGCCGGTGACGTTTTGGTCTAATTACCATTTGACAAATTGCACACACTCATCTCGCTTGCTCATCGACATACAGACGGACTTTATACTAGAGCTTCGCGTCGGCCGGCATTGCTGTCGTTGATATTTGGCAAGCATGCTGCTACTGATTCTCAGTTTTGTTATAAATTCAGGCACAATTGGCAGCTTGGTAAGTTACTGGATTCAATAGGGAAGTTAACTTGCTTACTAAGAAAATTTTCTTCTAGATAATCTTGACGCGCCGTATTACCAAGTACATCCATTATATCTGACCTTGTCATGTGCAGAGTGTTCGTAGTATTTGCACGAATTTTGTTCTGCTCAAATTGTGTCGACATAATCTAAAGTAATTCACTAGAGTTTAAATAGCCACCTTGGTTGGACCCCAGATCTGTTAAAGATCTTGAATGGCTTAATTCTCCTAAAAGTACATACCGTAATCCGAAATATTTCCAAAACTATGTAGCATAGGCACGTGAAGGCAGATTGTAAGGGATGAAAACACTGCGGAAGCAGGTGAAAATGTAACGACCTTCGAATACCAATGGTTGGCCAAGCTGATCTCCATACTCATCCCATACGATGAAGATGACAGAAGATCACTACGCCTCTGTCTCATAACTGCTCGAAGTTCCGCGCAATGCATAGATGGATAAGGCACCACCAAAGTTGTGGAGCCACCTAGCAGCCAGAATATCCACAGATCAGATCAACAATGGCTTTCCTTACATATATACATAAATAGAAATGGTTGGAATTGACATGTTTGCTTTCCGTCTCTAAAACCACTACAAATAGCAGACAGCGATGTTTCGTGGTCATTAGGAACTCATCAGTGCGATTTAGGTCTAGTAGTCCTGGAGACAAATGAACCGAAAGCAAACAAGTGGGTTTGGTCGCTTGAAAAACTCAAAATAGTCTGCGGAAGAAGTTATCTGACAGTCTCCACCTACAAAATGATACCTATATTTGTTATTGCAGGAAACAATCACAGAAAAGTGTACAACAGGACGTTTGAATTGACCCTTCAGAGTCCATGTAACAACAAAAATAGTTTAAATACATATAAAAATTTTAAAATTATTATGACTACCCCCACTTCATCTTAAGGGGGAGACACCTACAGGAGTTGTAGTAATAGGCAATTTCATAAGATACCTTATCTATTCACTCACCATATAATAATGAGAAAAGACAATATCCACGTCTGGACATTTTCCTTTTACTTTGTAATTACAAAATAATTTTAGAATCTTGGATTATTTCAAGTACGCGTGAAACAACTAATTGTATTTGACTTATGAAGTATGGCCAGTGTTGGAGAAAATTGCCAGAAAATAAAAATTAATAGTGACTGATTGGCTATGCAACAATAATTAGAACTATAAAAAAACTCCATTGTGGAAAATGTGTTCACCAGATCGAGTTCGGAAAACAAACAGGATAGACAAAAATATCACCAGTAATTCGGTATGACACACTGCATTAATTACCTGCGTTTTTCCTTTGACGTTTATCCCTAATACTGTTTGTTGTTCCATGTCATTTGAAACACGAATGCTAATAAATAAAATGCAATGCAAGATGACAGGCACACTTGTTTTTCTTCCTAATTAACTGTGATATACTGTGGTATAGGTGATGTTTTCATTCTCAGTGTAGTAGCGGTATTGTAATCGCGAAAATTTCTGGAAATTGATGGTACAGATATATGGCATATACATCACGAAGAACCATGGCACTCATCTCCGTCGGTTTGTCCTCTACTTCTTTTTTTCACACAAGGTGACTACTGTGCCAATGACGAAAAATCTTTATAGTTTTTGAAAATCGGCCGTCGCCAGAGGTAAAAACGAAAACTTGTTTTTTTGGCGTACCGGAGGCTCCTGATCATTTTCAGAAACAGATTTTTGCAACGGTTGGGACTTGTAGGGGGGGGGGAGGATATATCTCAATTTTTGACGTTAGATTATTTGTACGCTCAAACCCCGGCAAATTTACGCATATACTAGACATGTTTCACACATCATAGAATCTACATACATTTGCTTTTCAAACTTAGAATCATAGAGATATATTTTTAATGGACGCGTCCCTTCATGTAATACGAGAGTCGCGACTGACAAGCGGCTTAGTTGATCATAGCAACGCTCACGGGTGCCCGCAGCAATTTTCTTACGGAAGGGGAGAGAAAAGATAACTTTTTGTGAAAGTGTACCCAATTCTAAAACTTTTGGATGAGCTGGAGGTAGCAAATTTTCTGAGGAGGGGAGGGGGCGAATCCTAAGAATCCCCAAAGTGGTACATAAAATTATAGTAGAGAGTGTTTAATTGACCATTATTTTTTCTTCCTCAGACATAATCCGATGCGATGACGTGTTGCGTGGGAAATGAACAGTCATCCTACTTGACGCCTTTTTTTGTAGAGAACATCCGATTATCAAAAAGTAAAAAAAAATGTTTAATGCAGTTTATGATATCTGACCATCCTGTCGATAATCTCAAACTACCCACGCCTTCTCTAGATCCCTAAATGTTGGGCATAGCGGTGGCGAAGTCGTAGGCTCTGATCGAACACCGTCTCAAGAGATTTTTTCTCTTGCATATGGATGTTGTGATTGTCGGTATACGGTAAGCGGCCCCGGACTGTCGAACGTGGAGGTACCACCCGGCGGATCTCTAAGGTGCTCCCATGCTAGAGTCTGTCTGACGTCGCCCATTACGTGGTGGCCCAAACATGAAAACAATATCTAATTACCCTGTCATCCAAAACGGTGTTGATCTGTCGTATTTTGCCTTGATTAGAGACTAATGCATGCTATCTAGGCTTGAAAGATGGCCTTTTTGCTGACTGGTAGGTACACATGAGTGCCACATCTTCGACTTGATGTGCCCTCCACCTCAATTTCTCCAGAGAAAGCCCCAAAAAATAAGCAGTTTATCCCCCTTCTAGTCATATATATATACCAGACCACCATGCAATTTTTCATTTGGGAGCTGTATCATATATCTACTTTATACATATATGTATATGTATAGTAAACGTAGTAGATATGAATCTGCAAATATTCTTTCACAGTTTTACTTAAACATTTTATCGGGTTTACGGCTTACCATCTATTAAAATCAAACAAATCATATCTTTAGGAGCCCATTAAAAATGTAAGCACCAAGAGATGTGTTTATTTTAATAACAGCAAAATCAATCCATCAGTCGTAAGAAAAATGCCGACAGTTAATCATTCATGCGATCGTTTCAGACCACTTAAATTAAACGCAATTATTTCAATTAAAAAAATAAAGGTAATACAGTTCACCCAATAAAGACAAAAGTAGCTATCCTATTATAGTATTTTCCTTTTGTTTTGCGCTCTGTGGAATAATCATAATGGGAAAACGTTCGACTCAGTTAAAGCCATTTGAAATCATCTCTCTGATTTTGTGAATAGTACAGTTGCTTATTAAACAAATATTTTGAGTAAACACCACTATACAGCCACTATAGTAGAGAGCTCAAAATTTGCAAAAGTTTCTCTCTGTTGGGGACTCGACTAACCTAAGGACCGTTGCACCTAGCTTCACAATGAAACGTCCCAAGCTTAACGGACTGGTTGTGGGTTTAATGTACAATTGATAGAGGTCTGTAACATTATTAATCTGTTTTAGCTTACCTTAGACCATTGTAGAGAACGGCGAAGTATGTACTTAAGTATCAATGTGCCACAGCTGATGTAGATAAGCATAATAAAAATCTATACTAAGTGACAAAAAAATGTAAACACCTACGTATGTTTATTAGAATACAAGAATTTTTTACATATCGAGTTATCTTGCCATGAACAACAATGGTCAGGTTTTTCTGTTAAGCATTTGTGGTAGCTGCGTGTATTGTTTGGTGATGAAGAAACATTCAGTTTTCGTACATTTACGGTGTCAGTTAAATGATAAATTTCGTGTAGCCTATTGAGAAGGCTTTTAGTGATTGCTAAAAATGCCTACAGTGCGTAGGAATCGCTGGGTGTCCCAGCTAAGTGAATTTGCTATTGCTTATGGTAGTAGATCACCACTAATTTTCATCAAAGGCAATATAATAATAATAATAATAATAGTAACCATAATAATATAATAATAATAATAATAATGTTCTTTATTTTCCCATCATATACCTACATTTAACACACACTCACACACACATGAGAAACAAAATCATGGTATTGGGAAAACCTCAATGGGGAGTTCACCTAGAGGTGTTCTTCCACTCAACCCTTGTCAGTAGTAGAATACATGTAAGAAAAATATCCTAACCTAACACTAACCAAAAACACACATAGGGTCACCTGAATTAAACTTGGAAGTTGTAATGATTTAATTGGTCATCAAGTAATCCGAAACTAGTTCCTTAAATGTATGTGGATTGCATGATTTAAGATAATTAGGAAGATAATTATAATCTTTAGCAATTCGTCGCTTGAATGCAGAAGTATTCTTAGTCACAAAATGCATATTTTACAGGAGAGCTATTTTTCGTGTTTGTGTCTTGCCTAACATTTCTGAGAAATTTTGGATATAGAATGCTTTACAGGAAAAAAGTATGACTAGTCCGTGAAAGTAGACCTATATTTGTTGCTGACATTGGACTTACAGTCGTTCTGTAAGTGATCATCTGCTCTTATTATAGTTCTGCACCGAAATGACGCGCCTCAAGCTATTACGCCAAAATATCGTTCAAGACCAGTGGTGGGGGAACGCTTGCGCAGGGACTTACAATACCTCTGCATGCAATGTAGGTGACTATGACCTACAATGTCGTGTTAAAATATGAAAAATGAAGAATTTGGACATACAATAGTTCTGCATTCAGGCGACGAATTGTAAATTTGAAGCTTCTTTCAAAAAGATCTGTCCTGTGAGATGGTATATTGATTAGGCGCTTAAGTGTCGTGTCAAGATTATGGACATCTGCGCGAAATGACACCTTTTGGTAGAGATAGAGAGGGTTCATTATAATACAGTATCTTGTGAAATAAGCAGAGAGCATATAAGCGCAATCTTTTCTCCATGTTTAGCCAATTCAATTCCTTCAATTTGTGGGAAACGTGCCCATTCTTTTTAATTGCGTATATAAGTCGAATGCACGAGTTTTGTACACGTTGAATACGATTAACACTGTTTTGGTCTAAACATGGACCAAATACAGGTGCACAGTATATAAATTGTGAAAGTACTAGCGTATCGCACAATATTTTCTTAGTGTCTGTTGATAAATATAATCTATGGGGATATAGTAATTTTAGCGATGCGTATGCTCTCTGTATGCATTACGTTATGTGATCCCTGTACCTTAGATCCTGATCAATGAGTAAGCCCAGATTCTTTGCCTTACCTGACAGTATTACTCACATCTAATTTCAAGTTTGATTCCAAAAACTCTCGCGCAGATTTTTTACCAAATACCATAGCCACAGACTTGTTAGGATTTAGTATGAGTGAACGCCTTGCAGAAATATCTGCCATAGTAGCAAGATCTTGATTAATTTGGTTATTCACTATTTTCCAGTCAGTCATCGAGAAAGAACGATATACCTGTGTGTCATCCGCATACATATGTTCTGAGATAGTTTTAATAAACTTGGTAAACTGACTAGTGTACAATGTGAAAAGCAATGGTCCCAACACAGAACCTTGCGGCACACCCGATTTGATTGTCATGGATGTAGATTTTTGAGAACCAAGCTTGACTGTTTGACTACGATTTTCCAAGTACGATTTGAAAAGCTGCAAAGGCTCAAAACATGCTCCGCAGGATTTTAAGATAGCTAAAAGTGTTACATGATCTATCGTGACGAAAGCCTTACTAAAATCTAATAGCATCAGCATCAGCATCAAATATATATTGACCGCTTAGAGTCCGTTCAAAGAAAGTTTTTAAAATACCTCTCATACAAAGCTGACGGGATATATCCTGCTATTGGCTTTCCTCATAGTGAGTTGATAATGAGGTACAAAATCTATAATTTAGAGAGCAGACGCAAAAAGTTCACTCACAAGCTCATCCATGGCATTATTGACTCCAGTGCCATCTTAGAACAACTTAACTTCTTAGTTCCTAGATTAGCGTCTCAAACTAGTTTAACTTTATACTTAGCCAGGCCTAGGGCTGACATACTTCAGTTTTCCCCTATCTATATAATGTGCCGTAACTATAATTCAGTTAATAGCGTTTTAGATATATTTTTGTTTTCTGCGACTTTGGGAGACATTAATGCTTATTTTTTTTCCTCGCAGTTGTGTTTTGAGGTTTTTTTGCAGCGTTTTAGCTTTCTCTACATACATCCACTACATGCATTTGTTTATATTTTCATGTTTATCCATCCAGTAATTGGCTATGGCTGTTGGATGTAGCTAAATAAAAAAAAAAATCAAAAAAATTATATCGTCTGTTATATGAAGCAGTGCAGTTGCACAGCTGAAACCGGCTCGAAATCCCGACTGCGTGGAAGGGAGGATCCTATTTGTGTTTAAATAATTAATAAGTTGTTTTGCTAATACTTTTTTGACAAGCTTAGACAGTCCGCATAAAATGCTTATTGCACTTAAATCTGACAACTGTTTAGGATTATTAGTTTTAGGGGTCCGGGTAAAATTTGCATTTGTTTACTAAGAAAGGCAAAATAAACGGACAACATCGCTTGATCAGGGATATAGATATGTCATCAGAGCCCGGAGATGTGTTTCTTATACTCGTGAGTGTATTCAACACTATTAACTCATCGACTAGATTGAAACGGAATTCATTTGAACAAATCCTGTTTTGTATATTGAAGTCATTCATCAAGTTATTACAACTTTTTGGAATACAATTTAGGAAATAGTTATTAATTTCATCAGGAGCTTTCAATATGTCCTCTATATGTTGTTTACCATTGGAATTAATATTTATAGTTTTCAACTCTCTCCATAAGTCTTACTATCTTACTATTTTTGCAGAAAGGTTTTCGAAATATCGTCTTTTTTGTTGAGCAATTTTATGATTAACAAATTTTTTTAATCGTTTATATTCCATGAAATTTTCCTCTGAATGCCTTTTCCTAACTTTAATACTGGCTCTATAGTGCTTTTCTTTTTGTCATTTTAACAGATCTCAACGGAATGTGTTTGTTGAATACATTTAAGATGATTTTATTCAATTTTTCTATTTATAAATCCACCTCATGAATACTGAATATTTCCTCAAGGTGTGAGTTTATCTGTTCATTTCCGAAAGCACATACATCGAATTTACTAAAATCACGATAAGTAAAAAAAAATGGGCTCCATTCTAGGCTTATCACATTTTAGCTGACAACCTATGCACTCGTGCATTGAAAACTGTGAAGGATATACAAATACTGAAGTAACAAAAGATTAATTATTAAAGTGCATCTATTAATGATTTAGACTGAGGAGTGATATGTGTAGGTTCAGTGATCATTTGGTTCAATTGTAGCGACGATAACATAGAATAAAAATATTCACTTGCTGGACATACAACAATTAAAAAATTAACATTTACATCACCAACACAAACAATATTATCCACCTAAGACATAGCGATTGTAACTGATGTCTCCAGAGAATCAATAAAATGTTTATACTTAGTTTGAGGAGGCTTGTATACTGCACCAACCACAAAACTGCACCTATTATAAACTAGCTTAACAAATAGTTGTTCTATATCACATCTTACTTCTATCACGTCATATTTGATCTTAACAGAAATATATAACAGAACATCACCACTTCTACCAGAATTTCGATCTTTATTAATCAAATTATACCCTTCAATCATTAAATCATCAGAACTGATTTGATCATTTAGCCACATTTCCGAAATAGCCAAAATGTCGAATTGTTTCTCTCCTAAAAAGAGCTTTAGCTGGTTTAGTTTAGGAGCTAGTGATTGTATGTTTAAGTGACCCAATAGACACATATCTCTCATAACTTAAGTGACTATTCTAAGACTAACTGCAAAATATCAAATAAACACTATCGGCACACAAAAGACACTTATCAGCACAGTCAGAAAGGAAAAAGTTAGACATTATACAGTACCTTTTCCACTCCTGTTTCAGTTTTGGCAAAAATATTACCGTTCCGTGTCCATACATTTCTAAATCCATATTTTTCAGCTGCCTCCTTGACCAAGTTCAAACGCAATAGAATAAGATCTTCTTTGATTATCACACCAGTACCTTTCAGCGACTTCTTCTTGTTGTAAATGTTGCTGTAGATAACATTACTTTTAAAAGTGACCACCAAATGCCTTGGCCGGCCACAAGTTTTTTGGCCCACCCTGTATGCAGCAACAATATCACTCTCGTCTACATCGACCTTCAATTTCTCTGCAAGAAACTCGCTCACCTTTGTTGTGGTATTTCCATTGGGAACCTCCTTCACTCCAAAAAATCGAAGTTTATTGTTTTCAGACTGTTGCTGTATATGATCGAGTTTTTGTTCCAATTTGCATTCATTCGTTGCAACCTGGCTATTATTACCTGTTTTCAGTAACTGGATCTCAGCTTCAAGAGATGCAATTTTGGTGACGTAGTAGTGGAACTTTTCAGCCAGTTTCCTTGTTATGTTGGTAATGATAGCCTCGCTAATTGCATTTGCAATATTATTGGATCTCAGAGCCTCCACCAACGATCTCTCAAACTCTGCCTGGTTTTTGGTTGGCATTATGAAAGTCGAATATATACATTGACTGATGAAAATTTGAAGAGTAGCACTAAACTAACTGTGTTTAGGAGAGATATTCACACACGTCTACACTCGGCGACGGTCATAGTACACATATGACAGCCCGGCGCTATATTCCGGAAGTAGTGGAGCCTCATCTTATTCCGTACCTAAACACCATCCAAAACCCGATTTTTCAGCAAGACAATGCCAGATCGCATGTTGCCAGAGCATCGTTAGCCTTCACGGATAAACATCGCATCAACCGTTCACCACCACGATTGCCTGACCTATGTCCAATTGAACATGTCTGGGACATGATAAGTCGCAGCCTCTTGAATTTGCAACACTCTCCACAGACTTTAGCAGCTCTTACTCACGAAGTTGCAGTAGCCTGGAATGAGATACCCCAACAGGATATTGACCACCTTATCAGCACGATGCCCAGGCGTGTCAATGAGTGTTTAAGAAATCGTGGATCCTCAACACATTATTGAAAATTCAATCATTTTACTAGTAAGAGATACAGAACATATAAGCCAAAAACTATCGAAATCGGATAAACATACGTAGGTGTTTACCTTTTTTTGTCACTCAGTATATTAAGGCTGGAGGTACCTCACAATAACATTTATATTTTTAATGATCTGCAAATGGGCTGCTAATAGGGCTTTGCTTCCGATAATAACAATCTTGTCATATTCCAAGTGTACATTTCGTACGTTATGACAGATCTTATTCTTAAATGTACGTTGTATATTTGGAATATCACTAAAGCTAGGTTTAGACGGTGCTTCCTTTTGTGCGTTAGCGCATGCGGCCTTTCATGCAACAGCGTATGCAATATAGCGCACAAAACCGTTGCCTTTTTATATCGTGCAACATATCATTTACACCTAAATTTGAATCGGTGCGTGTTGAATAATTTAACATGGATGTTTTGAAGTTTGGAGGTTTGTGCTGCGTTTAACATAATAGCGAGAAATAAACAACGTAATAAACGCAAGTGTTGGATACGGGAATTGCTGAAAAAAAAGCATAGCTATTCCTTTATAGAAAAAATGCTGTTAGATGGCGGTTGGTTCTTTCAAAACTTTACTAGGATGTCTTCAACTGATTTTGAAGAACTTTTGTCAATGTTTGGGCCAATTATTAGAAATTCAAATACAAATATGAGAGAAGCTATTCCCGAAAAAGTAAGACTGGCAGTTTGTCTGAGATATTTAGCATCCGGAGATTCATACAAGAGTTTAATGTATACATTTAAAATTTCTGACTCAACTATTTCACTAATTATACCTGAAGTGTGTAATGCCCTGAATCAAGTTTTGAAAGGATATGTTAAGGTAAGAAGATTAATGTACTTCCAAAGTAGAAAAAATAACTTTATACGAGAAACCCAATATTCAAACTACTTTAACATCTAAATAGTCTTTTTTTAAGCAAGATAACAAAATTTACTTAAAAAGTATTATTTATGAAAATTCAAAAATTCTGCCATATCAGGATTCAGTTGTTGAATAACTTGTAGTTGTACTAGCGCAGAATTCTGGTTGGATTCCGTAGTAATATCATTTGGAAGCATTTCTGAATTTGGGCTCAACATGTTTGACAATTCACACCTAGAATTAGTAGTTGAAGATCCAGTGCAGCTATTACCGAGTTGAGTGTCACTTGAACGAACCATAGTAGGACAGCTTGGCCACTTATTTAGCGTTTCTGAGTTTGGGCTGAGCATTTCTGGTGTAGTTGAGTTTGAGCATTCATAACTATAATTTGCAATGGAAGATCCGGGGCGGCTATTATCTGGTTGCAGAGTATCAATTGAACGCACTATTGTGGGATGTGCTTCGTCCACCTGCGCCGATTTTTTTTGGCGTTTAGTGTTTGAAGAAGGTGTTGCAAAATCCAAACCCTGTTGAGTTGTACTTGATGAAGTAGTTTCGTGTTCAAGTACCTGAAAATGTTTTCTAGTTATAAAAATTAAGTTTTGAAATAAAATTTTATAATAAAAAAACACATTTTTTTAGGTTCCTTCAACTGAAGATGAATGGCTTGAAATAGCTAAACATTTTGAAAACCAGTGGAATTTTCCACATTGCATAGGGGCTCTTGACGGGAAGCATGTGTAAATCCAGTGTCCAGCGAATAGTGGTAGTTCCTTCTATAATTACAAAGGAACGTTTAGTATCGTCTTAATGGCGATCGTTGATGCAAACTATAAATTCATATATGCACATGTAGGATCCCAGGGCCGAATGTCAGACGGATGCGTTTTCCACACTACCTCTTTCTGTAGAGGTTTGGTTAATAACGCATTAAATATACCAAAACTAACACCTCTTTCTAAGAGCAGGCACTTAGAAGTACCTTATGTGATCATAGCAGATGACGCCTTTCCTTTGACAACCAATATTATGAAACCATTTCCGGTTAATATACCAGCAGGATCTCCAAGGAGAATATACAATTATAGCCTATCTAGAGCCCGGCGCATTGTAGAAAATGCTTTCGGACTTTTATCAGCAGTTTTTCGAATTTTTAGAAAACCGATAGCAAACGATTGGTGAGCTTCGAAGAGTGCATGCAGAGACGCATGCATCAAGTTGCACGAAAAACTGGCACCGTCTAAAGCTAGCTTAAGCAGCGCATGAAATGCGTGAAGCACAGAGTTGAATAATGCAGTAGACAATCTTGATTTATATCCAGTGCCTCGCCTTAGCGTGATAGGACAGAAACATGGCGGAAAGCTATCGACTTGTTAGGCGAACATTTCAAACGTACAGTTGGTCGCTAATTTGCTAAGTGTGCTTCTTCAGTAGATACATAACTTCCTTGAAAGCTGAGATGAATTTACATATGATGAAGTATTCAACATTGAATGCGTTTACAATTTCCCTAATCTATCGTAGTTAGGCTTAGATCTCGGTCAGCTGTGACTAGATAAAGGAAGGACGACAGACGATTTTGGTTGAGTTGTCTCAATGCATTGTGCGTTAATTCTGACAAAATGGAACAACTTTTAACTCACCGATTACCGAAAAATGGCATCAAGTAGGTTGACTCTACACTTCCCACGCAATGCTGTCATCAGTTCCTAAGCCTAGACCATGCTGATGAGATGCCAAAAAATCACGAAACACGAAACGGCATCGACATCCATGCAAATCGGACGTTTCGCCTGTACAGTTTTAGATTATCAAGTAAGATGTAGCGTGATTCCAAAACAGTTGTTTTGGATACAAATACCTTCAGAATAAGACCTTAAGAAACGAGCGGCAGCGGTAGTAACATGGTGCGCTTTTAGCCGTAGGCGATATTCTGTTGACATAGCATTTAATACTAGTGCTGCCACCACGCGAATTATTTATATCCCTACACGACGGCAAATATCCTTTATAATAAAATTTTAACCGATGCCTCGCAATCCTCGATTTTCAAACCCCTCAACATTTTTTCTGAAAATGGTCGAGTGCCTGATTTTCTAGCTTCTAGCTTTTTCATCGTTAGTAATGTAGTAACATTGTATCAAAAATTCCATCAATTTCGGAGCAGTGCTTTTCCAATCAAGGAGGAGTCTATCCCGATTTTAGGTTGCGTAGCATGGGGCACACAAAAACAGCCACAAATTGTCTATGTATTTAGATTTCGGTGCTAGTAAGACTTTGGTATACAAGCGATTCATGAAATCGGCCAGTTTATTGAAAGATAAGCGAAACAAGTTTGGCTCTAATCAATCTTGTGGCACAAGACGAATATCTACTATGAGAATGAGTACTTTTTTATCCAGTTGATTTTGAGAGCTTAATTCCTATTTAGGTGCTTCATGATTGAGTCTACTACTACTACCTTTTCTTTATCAAAGGTACTGACTTATTTTTATGCAGCTGACTCAAGATGGACATTTTGGTGGTAGACTGGTGACCTGGACTATAAATGCAGCATAGGAGGAGAGGTGTATGATGTATGTGTCAACGGCCATTTTGTTTGCACACATTCACCTCCCATTTGTTGTCGCCGTTGGATTAACACACGATTAATAATGATTAAAGTAACTGGCCAAGGTGAAATACGCGCCATAGCCGATACTTTTCTAATGCGTATCTTCTGTGATTCAGTAAGCTGTTGCAATAGTCCAATCGACAGAAGAAAACTTAAGCAAAATTGTGACAGAAATATTCAAAGGAAGCCGCTTATACCAAAGGTACCTCTTCACTATCAATTTTATAGTTGTTGCATCGCAACACCCGGAACAGATGATTTATGCAGTTACAGTGATACGTAGGAATATCCGCTTGAAGGTCAAACGGTTTCCTTTTCCTATTTATCAGCCTAACTGCTAACTGCAGTTCCCTATGCTTCCGTTCGTCTAGAACAGTAATGGCACAGTACATTTTTATACCAACGGGGCAGTACAATCAGTCTTGTCAAAATTTGTTAGAGTGGATTGGATAGGTATTGCATGCCAGCACATTCTCAGCACATCGAGTACGAGTAAAACAAGAACTGTCGATGCGCACGCTTCAGCCACAGGAAGAAACAGTGGTCAGGGTAGGACTATAACATATTCTTAGCGTTGTGTGTAGCGTTGAGTTATGCATTGTTTAGCATTCGAATTCAAATGAACAGTTACATTATGGATCTATGGGTTATGTATGGGGAAGACTGTTTTGATTCAATGCATGGCTCCTTGAAGTGATTTATTCAGAAAAGCTACAAGGTCCAGTGTTCCGCTAGTCCTGAAATCACTGCTCAGATTTTGATGAAATTTTGGCACAAAGCAACTATATTTTGTCAATGATAAAACAGGCTGTTCATATGTCTGCACCAGCGATGGCGAAGAAATGAAGAAAAAACAGAAAAAGAACAAGCAAGCTGCTGGGCGCGGAGAAAAATGTTTATGGTCTGTTCCTGAACAGTATTTGTGTTCTGACTTTTTATAAATGTTTTATTCACCGAGAATGCATAAATTTTTGGTCAATACGTTACTCAGCAAAATCTTCGCTATTGTTATACGTAGTTGGAGCAGTGGCAAACACGTTATCTATTCTTGTTGATTTACAAACCTGTTTCCTAAATCAGAACCTGTCGCTCGCACACCGTAGCGGGGAGAGTGGTAGCCGGCGCGACACGTGATAGACAAAACTCGACTTTATCTTCGTCGGCTGAAACATACATGCACGACTTCAGAGTTGCTTCATAGATTGACCATATAATGTGCATGCTCCGCTCCTTGCAATTCTGAACTTCCTCTGACGAATATATCTACCTAAATGACCTTTGTTATTGTTTCTAGACAAAGTTTTGCTGCGCGTTCTTGCCCTCAAAGATCTACCGTTTTGAGCCTTTGATTTCCATTCTACCGCAAAGTTCGTAATTTCAACCGTTTTTTATTGCACACATTTCGATCATATGCATCTACGCATCCAGGCCTGTCGGTTTGTGAATAAAACTTCCATAGCCACTCTCCATAGCCCGACAGTATTTGCCCTGCCGGCCCTTCCTGCCCGAAGTGTGAGATTCTTCAGAAATGACATACTCACTAAAACCCCTCAGTTGTTCGCCACACATCCCTCCACGGTAATGCGTGCAGCATTTCTTTATAGTGGGTGCCGTTGCGTTAGGTTCTCATACCGAAGGTATTTAGTCATCTATCGTACACATGCATACTTTTATACCTATGTACATTTACAACCGAGCAAAATATAACTATAATAAAACTTCGGACCTGGAAGGACCCTACCAACACCCATCCCCCTCCCTACTCAATATTGATAGTCGCTTCCCGAATCATTCTCGAGAAAAAGTAGGGAAGTCTTCCTCTATCTTGATGTACCTATATATGAACCGAGAGACTTACGGTCCCCGTTCTTCAACTGTCACAAGTGCATTTACTGTCAAACTAGTTGGCACCCATCCCGCTCTTTAAAGTTTAATTGCTGATATCCTTCCCTTTGTGATGACACTCTTAATGATATGGAACGCCTAGGAACGTATTATCTCACCGAAAATGGATGCATTCACAAATTTCTTTGATAAATTTCACCAAATTTGGGTCATCTCCATCTCCATATTCTGCCGCATTCAAATTCGACCCCTAGACATAATCTTGCTCTTCTGACCTATTTAGCACTAGGGAATTTTTTGTCATTTCTTCGATAACATAGGGGGGCGGTTCTGAGTAACCTCCCCTTATAAACGGGGGTTTGGGATTGTGACAAAGTACTGTTATTAAATTGCCTATTTTTTGCATGCACTAAGATGCCGCGCCTTTAATTGTAAATGAAAGGAAAAGGTGGTGGAATTCGTTTTTTTTGTTTAAATTCATTAATGAATTAATACAATAAAAATAAAATCAAATTGAGGGTCAATGCAAAACAGCTGTCAAGTGGCGAGCAAATTTAAGCCCTAGCTCAATAAATTGGATAGTAGGGGGGGGGGAGTAAGTGCACCAGTGACTTATTACAGACTAAGCCACAGATCCCCGAGGTCTAGTCGGAACTTGTTTTGCTTGACCACCCACACAAATGAAAAGGATTCTAACGGTACTGACGTAACCTAATTAACGGTACATTACAACTGAATTGGCGGAAACGTGTTCTTAAAATGCAGACTTTCAATATTGTTTCTAATTATATCTGTTTATAACCAACCAAAAGTGTAATTTTCTATTTTGAATGTTGAAATTCATTATAGTTATATAAACGGTATTAAAACATGAAACAAACAAGCCCAAACTGTAATATATATTTGAATGTATTTTGTTAGAGTCTAATTCTACCAGTCTATATTGCAATTACCATCAAATTAATAGTTTTATTGTGTGTATGAAATAGGATATATTCAATTGGTTGTGGGTGGGAACAATTGATTGCTTATAACTCACAGACTGTTATAAAATAAATAATTAATGAATGTGCAATATACTAGTAGTGGTATAAGTGTACTTGACAGCTCAATTGACTACATGCTCATTATTAGCGAGGAATTGGAGGAATGTGCAGATTAATTATGGAGGCTTCATAAACTTCTCAAATCGTGAGGCAAAATATAAGTAGATCTTGTTAGCCTTTCTAACTGATAAGGGAATCCCTTGGCTAGTGACAGGCAGGATGGTTTCCGACACCAACGACCAACACTGGGCCTCATAGCTTAGCTCACAGCCATACTTGGTTATTTGGTGAAGTTCACGTCGACGGATTTGATATGACAAAGGCTTTCAGTCAGGAGTAACACGCTGTTTGTTCTCCTATGCAATCTTCCATCCTACGGCCTCCCAGAGAAGCTTTCTAAAAAAGTGACATGTTGACATCTGGGTCATGATAAATCCGTCGTAATTGATTCGTTTTTTCATCCCAGTAACAGCGCGTGTGCTTTAGTACCAACATTGTGCCTGTAACTAATTAATGACCTCCCATTCTTATACACAGCTTTGTGCGAATCATAGTACTTTACATGTCAGTATTCAGAGTGCCAGACCGACGCGACGTGGCGGTTGAGAACTTGAGAAGGAGACATGTGGCCACTTCCTCTCTAATGCAAAACCTATAGGTGAACACTGCCTGAGGATGCAGTGATTTGGTGCGCGTATTCAGGGCGGACGGACAGTTTTATCTCAAAACTTGAGACGAAGGCGCTTCATTACCGTTTAAATATTTCCAATCATAAAAATTATTTATAAGTCTTTAATTCATTATATGAACAGCTAAGTGAAAGCTTATTTTCAAAAATGTATTTCTTCTTTTATTTACTTTTTACTTTTTAGTAGGATTTATGATGTCATATAACTAGTTTCGTAATTTCTATATAACTTATCATATGTCTTATGATTAGAACTTTCTACTATATTTGTATTATAAAATTTTGATGAATAATCAATATCTTGCGGCGATCGCCATATGGAATTAAACTGACGTTATTTGCTTATCATGTTTCTATCGTTAAGATCTTTTATTTGATAGCCATAACATGGTGACGACCACGCCATTTTGTAGCATATTGGATTCAAAATGGCGGCATTTAATTTATTCTGTATTGTCACACAAGCCAAACGCGTGTACAAAATTTCTGTCGATTAGGTCGTCAAGTTAAGTAAAAGTTTGTAAGAATCGGACACTTCGGTATTTACTCTATTCTTTCGGAGCTATTTTAGTACATATAATATACGATTAGGTGATATTATAAGATATCTAATGTCTTCATAGCAGGGAAATTTGTTTTTTTCTTCAGCTTGACAGCTTTCAGGTATTAAAACATTAAAAAACCTAGGAATACTAGTAACCTTGGTTTCTTTCCAAGTTATAGACGGGCTAATGATTAGCGGACAGACAGGCAGACCGACGGAAATGAGTGACATGGTTTTTCGTCATAAAACATCCAAAAAATATAATATCTCATTTACAAAATTTTCGCGTTTGCAATACTTCCTCGTCAGTAGGCGTGGGAAGTAAAAGTCGACGACCGTACTTACACCGCACAAAACATCATTTCCACTTATCTGTTTGTTTGTATAAAAATTATTTGGATACAAGAGAGAACGTGTGCGCGCTTCTCATATGCTCTCATGTGTGTAGTGTGTATATCTATTAATACATCATTAAAATCGTGAGTGTCAAATTAACCTAATTTTTGGTCAAATGCCGTGTGGCCGTCGCCCTCGCCGGTCGCCGTGCGCCATTTTGGATCACAGCCCAATTTCTAATCTGTTTCTTCCCCGAACCGAAATCGTGTCACCAACATGCAAACTACAAACAATTGCGGCTTCTAAAAGGTCGTCCAGGAATTCGAACAAATTGTCATCGTCCATTCATTTAGAATCAATCCAAAGTTTCGACTAGTGAATTCACTTTACACGCGAGCATCCAGAAGGAAGCTGAAGACACCCTGATTTCTTGGTACATACGAGTACTTGACAACACTCCTATCATTCCCAGAGATGCCAAGACAAATAAGGCGCCCTCGTAATAAAGATGTCTCTAGTGGAGAACCGACTATTTATTCGGCCTTAGGGATTACTTGAAGAGATGAATGCTGGCAACAACCTGCTTTAAGACGGAAGCTCTCGAGGTAATCACAGCCTGGGGAGTAAAGAATATGGAAGTTGCTTTTACGCCTCATTTCTGTACCTTATCAAAAAAGTAGCATTGTATTGCAATGGATGGCTTTACCAAAAATCACTTAAAAAGTTATGCTAACCGTCATTGAGATAAATGTACACAAGATTCTCAATGGATTTTCCCACGACACAGATCAATTCTTCTTTTCAATAACGGTCTTATTAAGTTAAGGCTGAGACTACTTGCGACATGTTAGCAAACATGTCTGCTTCTCAGATTTTTATCCTAACAATTTATCCATTTCTATTGAAAT